GGCACTGTAGTGATGGGACAAGGGGGAATGGGTTTAAGCTTAAACAGGGGAAGCTCAGGTTAGATAAAACAAAGAAGTTCTTTACTGTGAGGGTGCTGAGGCACTGGATGCCCCATCCCTGTCAGTGTTCAAGGCCAAGTTGGATGGGGCTTGGATCAGCCTGGTCTAGTGGAAGGTATCCCTGCTTATGGTAGGGGGGTTGGAACTGGATGATCTTAAGGTCCTTTCCAACCCAAACCAGTCTGTGGTTCTAATTAGCTTTGGCAATCCTGGTAACGCAGAGCTCTGTTCCTTAAAGATTAATGCCCCAAATATTTTTATTTAAGATATTTTCTCTTTCAAAATGAAACCGACCCAGAAGATGCTCATGAGGACCATGGTATTTCCCGTGCGTTAACCTGTAATAGGATTCATTCTCATTACTGTTTTTTTCTTTATGTAATAGGAGGCTAAACAGTACCCAAGGTGAAATCAGAGTCGGACCCAGCCATCAGGTAAGGGATTTTGTTTGTGTTCGATACGCAGAGAGCATGTTTTTGCCACTTGATCAGTTCAGATGACACTTAAACTGTATGCATTCAAATACGACAAGTTGTTTCAATTCAGCATGAGTTCTTACAATTCCTTAGCTCACTTAATGAGATTTTCCTATGCCAAGCATTGATACGTTAATGATTTTTACTAGCAGCGGTGTTGCTGAGTTAATTCTGGAGTAAAATTGAAGGAATACAAGTACCTGGTGGAAAGGAGGCAAAAATCTCAGCTATTATTTGGCACATTCTGGAGTTAAAACCAAAATAATCTCTCAGCTGGCTTTTACCAAGCAATGCTTTTAATAACCTATGGAATTAATTCAGTGGTATTTCCCAGTTATGCTGAAAGTAGAATTCCATTTGCCTAGTCAAACTGTCATGTTTCTGGTATGTTGCAGTCCTTTTCATCAATCTGTGTGTTTAAAGAAACTGAACTTCTATTAGAAGTGATGTGAAAGTCAGGATTTTCCCAACATAACAAAATTAGAAGGATGGAGGAACTTTAAACTGAGAGAGGTTTGTTTCCTGTTGAGTTATAAGTGTGTATTTATATCTGTAGCCATCTTCTAACACAGGGCATAGTGCTTTTAAGCATGTCTGTTGATATAGGTGTCATTAATGCAGGGTTCAGTGTAACCTTGCTCTCCCTTTTGGCTCGGAGCATGCTCTGCCTGGTGTCATGTCTGTAGCTTTGCATTTCCTCGCTGACTTGTGTTTACACTTGCAGTCTGCACATGTTCCCTTAGTGTTATAATAAATGATTTGGCCAACTGTGGTACTGCAGCAGAAAGATCAGGGGGGCGTTGTGTATGTAGGGATTCAACAGTTGTCTGAGAAGGGAAATTAGTATTGAAATGGGAGCAGTTTGGGCCAGCTGTTAGAGAGGGAGCTCTTCCTAAAGAGCATCTCCTGTGTGGCCGTATGCCACCATCACCAACTTGCTCTCTCCCTGCCATTTGAGACATGTTAGTGGGTCCTCACCTTCTTACCTGCATAACTTACACACAAAGCAGTTTAAATTCTCTTTACTAGGAGGTATGGTAATACTGGATGGTTATTGAATTAACTCTTTTGTCTATAGTCTACAGAAGTCATGTTATAGCTGTAGTATCTTATTTGTATTTGCCAGGAAGCTTTGCATGCAGGCCTTTTCAATGCTATAGAAAGGTTTGATTTTAAAGATGGGGAGACCTCGGTTGTATTGTTCATTTGACTGTGAGAAGGAGTAAGAACAGTAACTTCATAAAGACCAGTGCCTTAAGTCATATGGATTGTTAAAGTAGAAATGGAGAAAGCACGTGAGTGTGTTCAAGTACAGGGAAGCAGAATAAGGTTAAGCCCTAGAAGTTGGGTTGCTCCTGCTATGTTAGTTCTAATTTGAGGGAAATCCTTCATGGTACTGAAAATAATCAGTTCTTAAAGAGCATAACGTGCAACTCTGGTTTATAAGGCCAGATCCACCACGAGGAGCCGAGTGCTCTCTTTTACCTATGGAATGGCCTCTGTCCTGACCAAGTGCTGGCTTTTGCATCGCAGTTCATTCAGTGTTCATTCAGACTCATAAAATCTCGTTTAATAACTACTGTAAGCAGACATTTATGAAACCTACGTAACATTCTTAAGGATGTTTTGCATTTAGAGGAAAAGAAAGTCCTTGGCAATTAAACCGGTAGTATTCTTTTCACTGGTCATAATAAGAGTACTGTAAATGATACCTTCAGAACAACTTTCATCTCAAATTGCCATCTAATATTTTGGCAGGGATTAGTCATCTGTGCTGTAGGGTGTAATTACCAGGTGCATTTATGGGTGGAAAAAAAAAAGTGGGAAGAAGGTCCACGGATGTAGAATACTGTTAACTTTTGCTTCCTTAATATTTTTAGCTTCCATTGTTCTTCCACTCGTTTGCTGAGCATCTCTGTTTCAGGCAAACGCCATTGCTAAAAGGATATATTCATTAGTGTAGGGTGTAATCTTAAGATACATGCATGGTGACTGTAGGCTGTGATAGGAAGTCAGACTAAAGATGATGTTGCTGCTTTCCATTGTGTAGTCTGATTCAGGGACTAGATCTGTTTTCCTCCACCCACCTTAGTGGTAATAAGGTATCTGTACCAGAAACAACCCTGACATCCCAGCAGTGGTTTCTGATGAGTACCTGTTGCCTTCATTTCCCTTAAGTTGTGTGTGTTACAAATGCTAGAGGTCTGTTGGGGTTGCTTTAATGCTTAGTACACAGATACCTCAAACTGCTGCTTGTATCATAACAGCAAATAGGGACACAAGTGAAGGGAAAGATGTAGAATTGCAGTCATTAAAATTCACATGCACCGGAGGAGGAGATTGGGTCTCTACTAAATGTTCTCCTATGAAGACTTGGCTAACAAATGAATGACCAGAGGTGTTGAGAGGAAGTTGTTCTTGGGAGTAACTGTAGTAATCCAGCATGTTCCTTGGGTACACAAGGGTGAGCATTCATCTCGGAAAGCAGCCCCGTCACTAGGATGCATAGCTCGTAGAAGTCTCATCCTGCTATAATGCTTGCTTATCCTTCTCCAGAAGAGAAGTTCAATGACATCCCCATTTTCCCAGGCAAGGAATAAAATAAAGTACAGATTAAAGAGCAGAACATGAAAGACATCTGAACCTGTGACTTGTAATTACTGGTTATGTGTAAATGTTGCCTCTCAAATATGTTTAGCGTTGTAAGTATAGGAGGTAATTACAGGGCTTAAAAGCTGTTTCTGAAGAGGCTCTCAGCTATCTCATCCCCTAGCAGGAGATGACTAAAGATGCTAATTGGGTCTCTGGATACAGTGGAATACTTAGTGGCAGAGTTCATTCCACTGAGCTATCTCATTTGCAGGAGGTATCTTTGTTTCTCTTTAGAGTTTTAATGATTTGCTGAGGAGTTAATTTTAAACTTGGTGTCAAATGCGTAGGGTTTTAAACTGATTTAAAAGGGTACACAGACGGTAGCCACGTTCTTGCCTCCTTTCATATTAGGATGTTACAGGTGTATGTTTTAGCTTGGGAAGCAGGAGTTGTAGCAGCATCTTTTTGGCAAATGAAAACTGTCTCTTTGAGGGTGAATTGTTGGATTTCTATGCAGTAGAGGACTACCTGTGCAGTGCAAAATGGTTTACTTTCCAACCGTAGCATTTCTGCAGGCACGCTTGCACTTGGTCTGTATGCAGAAGGGTTTCACTGGTGGTGGTGTGCTGAGAGGTGTTAACCCTCCATGGCTGTCAGAAAATGAACTGCCCTTCTAAATGAAGGAATGCTGGATGAAGTGATGACCCATCAAACTTCGGAAACTTGGATCAAATGGCTCTGCTCCCTGTTATCCGAATATCTTCCTTCTGTGAGACCCCAGTATTCCAGAGACTTTACATACTTTGCTATTGATAACACTGTGCATCCTCCTAACACTTTTCACAACTAATGTCTGTATGAACCCTCATTCTTCTTCCAGGCTAAGCTTCCTGATCTGCAGCCATTTCCTTCCCCAGATGGTGACACAGTGACACAGCATGAAGAGCTTGTGTGGATGCCAGGAGTCAATGACTGCGACTTACTTATGTACCTTAGGGCAGCAAGGTAATTCCAGCCAAGATACTACCGTGTCCTTAGAATGCCGTAATGGAAACGTGGACCACTGTGTATGTGCAGTGGCTACAGTCACTCCTTTCTGTTCTGTTTGCCTGGTAGATTAATGGCACTGGTGGGCCTCATCATAATGCAGAGGATGAGTAAAGTGCTTGTAGTTTGCAAGAGTACAGAGATGGGGGAATCTGCAGTTTTCTAACAGCATGAAACTAATCTTACAACAAAAAGGTGGCTGTCTCTGGTGAGACTGTCCTCAGGTGTGGAGGTTCTGTCTTCCATAATCCTGATCAGGCTTTGGGACTGCTGCAGTGCCAGCTTTTATTGGATGAAATGCACTGAGATTGGATTTTACTTTCGAGTTAGTTTTTCCATGTGCTGGGCTGACTCAGCTTTGCATAAGAACTGTTTGTGGTGCCTTCTTTTACTTGTTTCCACATTATCACAAGGCCCTGAAATAGGTGATTTAAGGTGTAAATCTACTATTTGTGTATTGCATGATGTGTGCATCAAACAGTGGCTGAAGACTTTAAACTTTTTTCCCCTCAAACCATAAAGGAGCATGGCAGCTTTTGCAGGCATGTGTGATGGAGGATCCACAGAAGATGGTTGTGTTGCAGCCTCCCGTGATGACACTACACTTAACGCACTCAACACAGTAAGTATATAGATGACTGCATGGAAGAACATGCTTTCCATTCATTTTTGGGCTACTTGAAGCGTGTAGTGCGTAAAATATTTAGCAGATGAAATAGATTTGGGGATCACAATATGCGATTAGGATATTGTAACTTCCTTTCCATGCCAGATTGTTTTCATAAGTCACCTATAGAACATCAGGAATAAACTTTTGAGTGGTACCTTTACGATGCCAGGTAGTGAATGTTCTGTATGGGAAGCTGCTCAGGTCAAGTACACCAGCTGGAGTAGTTACTCATTGTCCTTTCATTCAGTCCAGCTACCTTCTAGCTGTAGGAAAACAGTAGTTATTTCCCAGGAGGAAGACTCGTAATGCCATGAGCTGTGTAGTGCCATATATGTGGCAATGACTGTCTGCAGTTTGTCCCACTCATGATCCAGTCTTACTTGTTGTTTATATTTGGATGCATGTACCCAAATGTTCTCTTGCATAAACACAGTGTGTGTAAATAAAGCGTTACCGAGTGGTTATGTAGTTGTAAGGGTATGTTGAGATGCCTACACAATTTCAGTGCAGCCACAACAACTGACTGTATGGGGGAGGGTGAGGGCCACTGTCATCAGTAACCATCATACATGAAATGGTTTTCTAAGGTTAAGCTGAAAAAGCGTGCCTGTCATTCCATATTTTTTGGTGACACCAGGAAATCTGCAGTTGTTTGCTCCCCCAAAACCCTGTCTGCAGCTGCGGGAGAACCGTGGTGGTAGTGGCTAAGCTGAAGTGTGTCTTCATTGCTCCCTGAGGTGAATGTGTCAATCTTAGTCCTTTGGCTCCTTCCCTAAAGACAGCCAGTGTGTTAAAGACTTAGTGCTTGGCAAGAATTGCAGTTAACTCTGTATTGCACATCCTGTTTCTTACCTGTGTGACACTTTAGTCCTTCCTTTCTCTGGGGATGGATGCTGTGTGATTCTGATGGCTCACCACTCTAGAACATCCGAAGTTGTCCTCTGACATCTTTCTTAGAGCCTCAAATCTCTGTTAAGGCCAGTAATCATCAGAGAGCTTTTGGAACTGGAATTTCTTTCCCTTTATCATCCATAATAAAAGGCTAGTGCAGAAAATCCATTTAACTTCACTGCTTCACTATCTAATACATCCTTTAATCACCTGGGATTCCAAGGAGCCTGCAGTTGCACTTGTGGACTTCTTTCTTCTGAGACTTAGATTAGTCCCAAATGATTTTGTTTCTGTTCTTATGGTTCTTTTCTCTTTGTATTTGTAGTGCACATCTATTTCAGATCACTGCTGATTTATCTCCTGAACGGGGGAGCGTTTCACACTTCTGAAATGAAAGCACTCTACAAACTCTTACCCTCTTAAATCTTGTTTGGGGATGTGTACTAACTCTGCTGCTGTCCTGACTTCCCTTTCCCCTCAGTGTGACGTTGTAGTGTATAGCAGTAAGACTTACCCTGTGGTTGGGGTGTAATCATCTCATGAACTTCAACGTTGCTCAAGTTTCTCTTCTGTAGGCACTGTGGTGCAAGTCCTCTGTTCTTCTTCAGGCTGGATTTCAGCCTAGTTCCCATTCATTACTCAGTCTGAATATGGGCTGTTGGACTTCCAAGAAACAACAGTCTGCAGGGTTTGACCTTAATGACTCTTGAAAGCTCCACAGGCTTCTGTGGTGGTTGATTTATTCATGCTGCAAAACTCTCCTCTGAGTACTAACACTGTTCAGAGCAGTTTTAGAAGGCAGCGGGGATGCTTTCATTGCTCACTTTGTGAGCACATTGCTCACTGGAATAGGCTTTTCTTACGAATAATAGTTCTGTCAGGTGGGATATTTGAAGGAATTTTATTTCCAAGAGCCTACTTTCTGAGTAACTTAAACCAGTTTAACCTGTTCTCCTGACAGAGTTGGGACCCTTCTTACCTTGTAGCTCACCATCGACCCTAAACCATGAGATTCATCTGCTGAACTGCGAGGCTCTCACCCTGCACTTAGTTGTGGTTTTGGTTAGAAATTATCATACACAACCCAGAAGAGCAATGTAAGGAACGTGTTATGGTATGATTTCTTATTATGGAAATCCAATAAAGTTCAGAGCAAGACTTCATCTAAATTGCTCCTGACAAGCTCCTTTGCCAGTGTTTTATTTATGTAGTTAACAGATGCTGTAGCCCTCAGCGTGATTGATTGTTAATTATACCAGATAGAAATGAAGATCATTGGAGGGCACAATGCAACTTATATATCAGCTCAGTGGAATGATTATTTACTAATGGGCCAGGTGGCTTTTGGGCTGTTTGGATTTGATGCCACATTTGTCACTCTAACCCTTAGGAGTTCATCTCCCACCTGATGAGTGCTGGCTGTCACACAGAGTATGGAGGAATGTATGTTGGTTCCTGAAAGTCTTTCACCATGATACTTTAAGGTAGTGAAGGTCTTTTCTGTTACAGGACCATAGAAACAGGTTCCTGAATTGGGCTGACTTCCTAGAACTAGCTGGGGTTTGTGCTTCAGATATTCACAAAGGTTATTTGATGAATTAGTCCTTAAACTATTAGCCATGTAAGACAAAACCATGCATATTGAGTACATCTTTATTTTACCAGTTTTATTATTGACCCATAATCCATAAAGCCATTTTTATCAGTGAGGTGGTAGATGATGGGAACCCTTCAATATTCCTATAGCTACCCAGTTCCTCCCATCTTGTGATCTGCAGAACCACATCGCTTCGAGCCAGAACTCCTCCTTACAAGTGAAAAGGGAAATGGAAATGCTAATTTGAGGTATCCCAAACCTTGTTTTGGGTCACTGTGGACAACCCCATTGCATTCTGAGCATCAGCATGCTTGATGTGAGAGTTCCCTAATTAATACTCAGTAGTAACGCACTTTGCTCTTTTAGTGCTTTTGGGCTTTGAGCGTGAACAGGCATCACTTTGTAATGCTCAGAATACCAGCAAAAAGCCCCTCAAAACACTGTATTTACAAGATACCTGTGCAGATCCTCAGTGAGAAAAACATGCAGGAGAGCCAGGATGTAATCAGCCACTTGTGGGGTTGTTTTTGTCTATTCCAAGCTAAGTGAAACTTGGAAATCGAGGGGAAAACCTCGGGATTCATTCCTGTTCCAAGTCAGCCTGTTTAACTGCCTGATTTTGCACAGCACAAGCATCTGACACAGTGGCTTGTCTTCTTCTGTAGAAGGAAGAAAAGGTTGGGCAAGTATTTGTAAGAAATGGCCAATTGTGGTTCCAGTATATTTTATTTGGGGGCAAGTTTCTTCTGAATTGATTTGAAGATATCTCCCTGTGATGAGGACCTGTTACAAGGATCGGAGCTGCCAAGCCCTGCAGATTAGAGCTATCAGAAGAAAAGCTTAATAATACAATGGTGCTATGGTGAATACTGGCCATAAACTGAGCTGCCACTGCTGCAAGTACTGTGGAGTAAGAGCAGGGTAAATCTTAGTGTAGTTCCTGCCCTTCCCCTCCTCCCATTTCCTTGCCTCTGTGCTCCAGAGCTCTGATTTAGCATCAGATCTGGTTTAAGATCCTTTTTATACCCCATACTAATACAAAGCCAGAAGCTCATGACCTCTTTTATCCTGCACTGCTCTTGACCTATGCCTGCTGTTCAGAGTTTCTGCAGGTCTTTTCTCAGAGTATCCAGGTCAAGAAGGAGTTAAATTACTGCTTTGGTCTCAGCTTTATAAAAGCTCCAGGATAATAATTCCTTCTCAGTGTTCTGCCTTTCCCATTGTTCTGGCTCAGCAGTAAGTGTGAGCATCGGTTCTATAAAACAGCAGACCCTGGGAATGTCAGGGTGCAAACTCAGAGTGTGTGAGAGTGGGTCTCAGAGGTTGTGGTTGGTTTTGATGGGGAGATCAGAGCCAGCAACTCCGTTTATCCTCATATGGTAAGAAACTACCATCAGTCCACCTTGCATACTGCTGCATGGAGTAGACAAAACAATCATATGCTAATACTGTATAAATCTCTCTTTAGTAATAGCATTGTTCTGACTTCTCATCACACACTCTTACATGGGAACATGTCATTATAGTGACAAACATAATGTATCCAGTGTAAGGAAATTCTATTCCAAGTAAGATGTCACCCAGACAAATTAGTCCCTGTTTTAACTTGCCTTTAGACCAGATTTTCTTGTTCATTAACTACAGACAAGGTTGAAAGCATCAAAAATGATTTAAATATATGTTAGCATTTCTTATTATTACTGGTTTTCCTTTTGGATGAGTCTTAATTAACAGTTACTCTCGTGGTTCAAACGAGGTAGCGCAGCACTTCAGGGGCCATCGCTCCCTGCCTGGGCATGCAGGAAGACGAAGCCACCTCGAGTGCCTAAGACAGCTTTGCCACTTTGAATTTTCATTCATCCTCATCCTTGCTTTTGGGGGAAAAAACTTCAGTGCTTCATTTGCAAGATGAGTCAGGAAATCTGTCTGGAGAAGCTGTTGGGACAGGCAGATAAAAAGGGCCAGGAATGACAGCCAGGGTTCCTTGGAATGTGTTTGGGAATATGTAAAATACTCATTTTTTTCACAGAACGCTTTCACAAATCTCTAATAACAGGTTTGGGTTGAAGGGACCTTAAAGCTCCTCCAGCTCCAACCCCTGCCATGGGCAGGGACCCCTTCCACTGGAGCAGCTTGCTCCAAGCCCCTATGTCCAACCCGGCCTTGAACACTGCCAGGGATGGGGCAGCCACAGCTTCTCTGGGCACCCTGTGCCAGCTCCTCAGCACCCTCACAGGGAAGAGCTTCTGCCTGAGAGCTCATCTCAGTCTCCCCTCGGGCAGGTTCAAGCCATTCCCCTTGGCCTGTCCCTACATCCCTTGTCCCAAGCCCCTCTCCAGGTTTCCTGCAGCCCCTTTAGGCACTGGAGCTGCTCTAAGGTCTCCCCTTCAGGAGCCTTCTCTCCTCCAGGCTGACCCAGCCCAGCTCTCTCAGCCTTTTGAAAGCTTTGTTTTAAAATGCTGGTACAAGTTCTGCAGGTATTTGGGAAGTTCTTGTCCTGGATGCTTGTGGAGCACCAGCCATGCCTGTTGCACTGGCCCACAAGAGCACATGGCACAGCTGGCACATCTGGCTCCCTCTACTGCTCTGTCCTTGGCACCTGGGTTTGAGCTGTTTGGCAGAGCCTGGCAGTACCAGGGTGTGCAGAGTGGCTGTAACACAAGCATCTGGCTTCTTAATCGCCATCATTAGCATCTTAGAGCACTCTGTAGCAATTTAGAAGCTTAAAACAGATTAGAATTGGGGGGAAAGAGATGGAACTTCCTTTGGGGGGTATTCTGGAGTTACATGGGGGTTGGGGTGTTGTTTGGGGGTGTTTTGCTTTTATTTTGGGGTTGTTTTGCAAAGCATTGGCACTGGTTTGTACGTTTTCAAGCTTCCAGATGCCACAAATCAGATGCAAACCACCAGAACCAGTAGTTACTTTCTCTTGAAGCAGCTTCCTGACTTCTGTCACCTTCTTTTAGATTCAGATTCCTTTGCAGGCCAAGCTGTGTCAACTGGTTATACATGACAACTTCCCAGTTAACTGTGAGAGCAAAACAAGCTTTGTGGGCACAGTCTCCTTGTTGGACAGTTCAGGTTCTGGACCGGTTCGAGGTGTCCTTGGGTACCAGAGGGAGCTCAGCAAAGTAGTTCTGCCGTCTGAGAACGGTGTATCTAGGTCTGATCCACATTGTTTGGTGTTGAGGCAGATGGGGAGGAGGCTGTACTTGAACTAGGGATTGGGAAGGAAGTTCCTGGGTCTGACAGGTATTTGGGGCTAGTTGTTGGGTATCAGACCTGGTTGATAAAAATCAAATCTTGCCATTTTGGAGGATGAGCACTTTAAAGAAGCTACATTTGTAAATAGATTTTACTGATTCACCTTTCTTTGCAATGAAGCATATTCCGTTTGATAGTAGGGCAGGATGTCCATAGCTATAAAGAGCATCTGCATCAGACTGAAATGTGGCAACTTTGCTAGTGAAAGATGTGGCCTGAATTCCATTTTGTATTAAATTAGGTTCTTGGATTACAGTAATTACACCAAAAGGCCTCGCTACTCAAGCCACATGGCAGTAATCCTTGTTCTGCTTGTCATTTTCCTTGTCTTTTTCCTTCTCTCTTCCCTCATTTTCTATGCTCTTAAGCATGCTGCAGTTGTACAGAGAGCTACTGGGTATCTTGGCCAGTGTCAAGACAGTGAGAGAAGGAAGTCCCTCATAAATATCTTGTTCTTAAGCCTGCAGAGATTTAGAGAACTGGTGCTTCAGTAGAGATGCTATTTGAATATTGACAGCGCAGCACCAAGCAAACACCATCTTCTTCCAATCTA